GGGATGAACGTTGAAAACTAGTTAAGATTAAACATGTGTGAAATGTTGTGCAACTTTCCAAGTCGGTGTTTTCAATGAGGAGCGATCCGAGTGGGGAAGGAGAACACACCTCAGAGACATGCGCCAGAGGATGCGAGCCGCAGCATCATTTTTAGAACAAGCCAGAGGAGAGCAAGGACAATGAAGACAAGGCTGTGGTATCTGGAGACTGAAAGCAATCCGATTTATTTAACTTTGAAGAACAAAAGCTCATTCTTCTAAGGGAAAAATCAAAACACATTTTCTGTGGGGGGAGAAAAAAAAAAAAAGAAACCATTTTGACGGCATTGCCAAAATAAACCAGGCGGAATGTAAGTCAGAACGAGCTACAAAAAGGAGTTCAAGCCACAGGGGCAGGGAGGGGATAGGCAGAAGGAGAGGACAAACAGACTTTGTTTTTAAAAGGGGGAAGGAGAGAGGGAAAGAGAAACCCTACTCCATCTAATGTGCTCTATCTAGAACACGCAGTGGTCCTCGGTAGCGCTAAGGGTCAGCTCCAGGACCTCCATGGACATGAAGGGCTGTGGGTGCCCAGTCCCCTGTATAAGAAGGTACAGTGTTTGCATATCACCTGCACATGTCCTGCAAATTCTAAATCATCTCTAGAGTGCTGACAATACCAAACGCAAATGCAAGTAAATGCTATGTAAATCGTTATTGTGCTGCGCTGTTTAGGGGACCATGGCATGGGAAGACAGGTGTACGTGTGTGTGCGGTACAGAGGACTTGGTGAGAGACTTTCAGTTGCATACTGGATGAATCCAACAACCGAGAATCTGTGGATATGGGAAACTGACTTCTCCGAGCTTAGGTTCTGTTAAAAACAAGAAAGAAGTTGGGGGAGGGTGGTGAGCAGAGAGGAAGAAGCCTATAGTGAATGTACAGCAAATTAAGGTACTGTGGTTAAACCCAATTTAAACAAGACACCTTTAATGGGGAAAAAATACAACTCTAAAGACTAAGTCATCTATATAAGAACAGGTCAGCCTCGTACTACTGTATGAGCTACTTTTTCTCCCCCAGACTGGGTCTCACTGTGTCGCCCTGTGTAGCCGTGGAGGACAAGAAGACACTATAGACCAGGCTGTTCTCCAGTTCACAGATCTGCCTGCCTCTGCCTCCCGAGGACTGGGAATAAAGGCGTGCGTGCATCATCACGTTTTAGGGCAAATCTTCTCACTCTGTCCAGAATCAGAGATTTTAGCCGAGATGAAAACTCCCAGGTTTTCTCGGTTGAAAGTCAAGCCCAGTTAACTGTCCTGAGCATATCTTTTTCAGAAACATAAGAAAATTAGTAAGAAAATGTTAACTAATATCTAATACTGTAAATACTAATGACTATTGCTTTCTTCTTTTTCTCGGTCCATACTCTGTATAACTCAGCATGGACACAACCCCAGACCTGTTTTTCTTGGACCAGGTTGACAGCTGAAGCCAGGCTACCTGGGTTCCACCCTAAACGCCACCAATTCCAAATGAGTTGTTTCTGAACCTCACCTGTAAAGTGAGGTACTCAATTGATTCCGCGGACTGTAAATACTCAATTATTATTCTCTCTGCTTTTGATTTTTTTAAAATTCCATAATAAAAACTTTTCTTGTTAATTTCAAAATTAACTAATTAATTAACTAATAAACTAAGTAAATTTCAGTCTCAGAGTATACGTCCCCGTCTTAAGACTACTAGGTGAATTTGACCCATTTGGACAGCACACCACAGTATGGCTGCCCTCCACTGAGAGTCAACTTCATCCTAGACACTCGCTTGGCACTTGCCTTGAATCAATACATTAATATCTTTATTTCATATAAAAAGGAGGCATGGGCAGTTAAGAACTATTTATTTCCAAATGGACTCATGATGGAGCTTGAGACTTCTGGTAGAACCCAATTATGTAATCCTGGTAGATGTCAGTGTGCATTTAGAGATTATCAAACTGTCAACCAGTTCGCTGTGGTCAGGACTTGGGGTAATTAGATCAATTTCCTGAATCTGATACAGACAGAAGTCGGGCCATGAAAGCCAGCCGAGCAATCTCAATTCCTTTCACCTTTCTAAACCTTGGTGTGGCTGTAACCAGGGTGGGGTGTGGCAAGAGGGTGCCCTTGCAGTCAGTGCCTGCCTGCCGCTGGGCTGTGCTTCTTAAGCAGGCAACTGCTTCTGGGGGTGCTGGTGGTCACACGCACACTCAGCATGAGCCCACACTTCTTGCTGGGCTTTCATCACCTGAGACTTCAACAGCAGGTGCGTCCCTTCCCAGACAGGGACTTCAATCAGCTTCTCTGATTTACCCAGGTCACTCAGCAGTCCACGTCTAACATCAAAGGTACCACCAGCTCTGTTCAGTACTGCTTATCTGGGTGATGGGCATGTCCTGTGTCTGAAACACCCAACGGGGCAGACTCCAGCCTTGGCTATCATTTGAAATGTGACTAGTACATTAACCCTTAAAGGTGTACTCTGAATTAATTTACATGTAAGTAGCTGTGGTTATTTGAAAGAAAATGGCCCCCAAAGGGAGAGGCGCTATCAGGAGGTGTGGCCTTGTTGGAGGAAGTGTGTCACTGTGGGGGCGGGCCTTAAGGTCTCTTTTCTCAAGCTTCCCTCAGGGTGACTGTAAGTTGACTTCCTGTTGCCTGCAAGATGTAGCACTCCCAGCTCCAGTACCATGTCAGCCTGCACGCCGCCATGTTCCCCACCATGATGATAACGGACTGAACCTCTGAAACTGTAAGTGAGCCACTTCAATTATTATTTGTTTCTTTTATAAGAGTTGCCTCGGTCATGGTGTCTTTTCACAGCAATAGAAACCATAACTAAGACAGTAGCCTAGCTGACTAGAAGCTTCCCTAATAGACAATGTTCGAGAATGATCTGTAGTAACATTCCCCGGCCTAGGGCCTAGGGCCTAGGCTTCCTTCTCAGGAGCACCCTAGGCCAATTAGTCTGGCCCACCGTTCTTACAGCCAGAGACCTGGGTACAAAGCTTGGATCTTCTCTCCCGTGACATGACCATCCCCCTGTGTACCAGTTTCCTCATCTGGGGTGACGGTGTGAACCTCGTCAGGAAGCATTTATAATGATGACATGGTAGACGTCAGCACTATGTCCAGAAAACTAGAATTCCAAGCTAGCGGCAACTGCGGCTACAAGCCATTTCATCATCCTCTTTCCCTACTTTCCTCTCAGCTGAGAAGCCGAACTTTTCTGCCTTGCTCTTCCTCTTTAAAGAAAGTCCCTAAGCCAGGAAAGGCAGCTCACACTGGTAATCACAGCAGGGGGCGGAGAAGGGACTTGTGAGTTCAAAGCCAGCCCAGGCTACATGGTAAGTTCCAGGCCAGCATGAATATAGTTCAGAGATTCTATCTCAAAAAAACAACAAAACAAGGCCGGTGGTGGCAGCACACGCCTTTAATCCCAGCACTCGGGAGGCAGAGGCAGGCGGATCTTTGTGAGTTCGAGGCCAGCCTGGGCTACAGAGTGAGTTCCACGAAAGGCACAAAGCTCCACAGAGAAACCCTGTCTCGAAAAACTAAGGAAAAAAAAAAAAGCCCGTTTAGCCCCTAAAATAAGAAGGGTCCAGATCTCTCCCAACACAAGCCTACAAGAACCAGCTCTAAAGAGGAGCCAGTACCTCCATGCCTTAGAGAGTTAAGGAACACAACTCCTCCAGATGACTTCCAGAATGTCTTCAGCCTTTTGGACCTGCAGACTATCAGAGACGATTCAACCAAAACCTCCTCTCTCCCCTCCACTCACCCTCCCCCACCAAATGCGAATTAACTCGGGATACCAGCAGCACTGCCCAGCATGGCCAGGGTCACCTCAAGGCAGGTAGTGACGTCTCCACGTGCCAGTGAGACATAAAAGGCTGCCATGCCTGGTCCAAGCCTCAGTGTTAGAGTAACAGAGAGATCTGAACCTGGCAGCCAGATCCCGGCCTCAGGCTCAGCTCTGCCAGCTCGCTGTACTGTTCGAGGACGTGCCTGATGTCATCTGCCCTCACATCCTTTATACGCGACAACCCTTCCATCCCGAAGTTCAAGCCTTGGCCTTTTACATACAACAGGCAGAAAGACAACAGACACTCCTCAAGCTGGAAAGGAAGGACAGCTACAGGAAGTCAGTACAGCGTAGTGGCTGACTGGAGAGCTCTGGAAACTTCTGAACAAAGCAGAGAAGCGGTCACCCTGAGTTCTGAGTGCTTCAGAACAGCCCATGGAAAGAGCAATGTTCCCTCCTGCTCGGGGTGGGGTCTCAGAATAACGTCATTACTGAGTACTGCAGAGTAATATTCCAACTGGGGGTATTCTCCTCGATACAATAAATGAGGGAGCACTGTTTCCAATTCAAAACACCGGCACGCTTGTTCCAATCTTTTTCAAACAGCGTTTCCTTAAACACGCACGGTAAGAACGCACATCCTTTGCTCTGCGGCTTTTGTTTATTTTGCTTGACATAGGGTCTTGCCGGCCGGTCTCAAAGTCACAATCCTCCTGCCTCAGCCTCCCAAGGGCTGAGACGGTCCTGTACCACCATTCCAACCTGGGGGTTTTGTTTTCTTTTTTTCTTCCTTTTAAGCAGAAAACTTAATAAGCTTCCAACCCTTTAAAAAGCTTACTTGCTGTAGCTTCTAAAATTCTGGATTTTACCCTCTTTTGAATACGAAGATGCTGGAGCGACACTGGGGACTTCCTCCCTGGAGGCGATGCACCCGCCCCCCCCCCCCCCCCCATGCTGCGTGACTCCTGGCTCACCAGTCCCCACCCCTCTCCACAAGGGGCCCTGGGCAGACAAGTAACCGCGAGGACTCGCTGCCCCACAGTCATACCGGCTTCAGGGACGTCCTCTCATTCCCCTCCAGGGTCGTTCCCATGTGGCCACAGACCCCAGAAAGACTCCCAACACCTCCTCCCTCCTCTCCCACGCTCTGCCCCGATGTCCCCAACCCCACAGCTCACCTGCTACTCCGTGTCACTCCGTTCTCTCTTCACGGGCGTCACGGGCACGTCGCCGTTGACGCTCTCGGTCCCTCCGACGGACATCAGACTCCTCCGCTCCTTCTGGTTTGACTTGTGCTCCACTTTGGTGACTCTAAACCTGAGGAGGCAACGGGAGGTGTGACGGGGTTTCCCTTCCCAATGAGCAGGGACTATAAGTAAAAAAATAAATAAAACAAAAATCACTCGCCTGGAGGACACCAAACCAACTCAGCCTAAAGAGAGAACAGCAACCAAGCCGCTGCCGGACAAGAGGGAGCCAATTCCCCTGCAGACCCTGAGCAACCACCCCTGACAATTCACGGAGCGTGGAAAGTCATCAGAAAACACTTAGTCTGAACTGCTGAGTGGCCCGGGAGCTGTGGTTCCCAATGGTGACATGGGCATTAACCACAGAACCCCGGGGAACGGGAAAAGTGGCTTACATCGCAGATGGACATAACCAAGATGGCCACCGCATAACCTCCTTGAGCAAATCCACACCTGCCAGGCGGAGGAGCCCAGGGGTGTGCCTTCACCCCTGTAAGCTGTTTCTGCTTCTCAAAGCCAAATTTAGGTTAACTGTCACTCGAGATTGGAGGAAAAAAGTAAATAAGTTGAAGAAGAGAATTTCATGGAGGAAAGTCAAAGCTATCTATACTCTCTGCTTTTCTAGAACAATACCATCAAATCTCCAGTCTTCCAATACCAACATTTGGACAGCTTTGGTCCTGCTCGCCTTTAAAAGGACCTAAAATAAAAATTTCCTTCTTTGTCCAAAATGAGATCACCAGCCACCAAGAGGAGGAGTCTGGGAAGCAAAGAACTGTCCAGTGAAACTGCTGAAAACCAGCCTGTGATGATTAAAAACCCACCGTACCCAACATCGAGGAGAGGGGGGATTCTGAGCCCTGACCAATGCACACTGGACCCGAGCGGAGAACTAACTTTCCGCACATTTCCAAAGAGAAAACAGAATGTGCTTCTTCTAACAGCTTCAGTTCTCGTTCACTGCACTCAAAGTCCCGTGACTCGGCCTTTTAATGCGGACCTTTATTAAGTCTGCTCATGAGCTGCGCTGCTCTGCTGTGAGTGGCAGACATTCCTCAGCCTTGTGGTTGCCGTTAACACAGGACGAGACTGAACCAAGTGAAAATTACAATAATAATGTTTAGCACTGCCAGTGTCGCTTGAATGCTTATGAGCCCCAAACCATTCTGAGACCTTTAACTGAGTCACCATTTTTAGTTTTGACAGAAGCTCTCAGAGGTGGGTGTGACTGCCTTCTCACTTGGGGCAGGGGGAAACTGAGGCACGCTGTGACATTAGAGTCTGTAAGTGGCGATGCCAGGACTGGATCAGGGTCCATGCAGTGAGTCCAGGCAGCTCTCCCTCGAGCTTTGTCCTAACTTAACTGCATCGCTTACCTTGCCTGACTCCTGCAGGGTGACCTTTCCCCATGTGACACATTCCTGGGCAATGCACTTCCTGTATGAGCTCAAACTACACACGTGTCCCCTGCAGACCTGCTCAGGTCAAGTCTCACTTAAGGTGTCCACCAAACAGCAGGAGCTTCACCTCACATGTGGGGCACAAGGAAATGATGCTTTGGAACTGAGGTGCCCAGTACACACAGCAGAGGTGACCTCAAAGAAAGCACTCAGTGTCATTGGTGTGGCTCTTAAGTGGCAGAGACTGGAAAGTTCTGGACCAACTCTGTCTTTCTATATTCTTGATGCAGGGCAGCATGACATTTCCTGACTGCCAGGAACTCTGGTGAAGACAGATGATCAACAGGAGCCAGTGGCAGGTGAGTCAAATAAATGATACATTTCACCCACCCTCAGGCCGGTTTCACTAAGAACCCCTTCAGAGCGTCTCCCCCACCATCTCTCTGTTCACAGATCTGCAGAGTCATGAACACAAGGGGCCTGGAGCTCTGGATAGCTGTGTGAAAAGCCACACCTTGACCTGATCACCTCTTTTAGATTCTCACCAGAGAAACAGAAACGCGTGTGTTCTGGGCACAGTGGAGAGTCTGGGCTCCAGCTATTGCAGAGATTAATTGCCTTAAAACGTGTTCTATCCAAAGCTGTCTAGTCTGTCAGAAACACCCAGGATTCAGACCAGGACACATCTAAGAAGCCAGGCTCATGGGAACTTACCTTCAAATGAAAAGTTAAGTATAAAACCTGTAACCACAGCAACCAGGTCCCACACAAGCAACACCAGGAACACCTTACCTGCCAACAGAGAGGACCGTGACCTCCCCTTGACGCCGCGGCCGGCCCTCTTTGGACTTGTTGGTGGGTCTTATGAAGTGCCACCGCTTGTGCCGACAGCGCTGGCACACGTCCTGCTCAACGACACCTCCCACTGTGTGCAGATGGTGGCCGCAGACATGCTTCCCTGGGGTGCCCCCTGGTGACAAGGGCCCAGGACTCACAGGTGGGCTCCCCGGGGTGCTAGGGGTCACAGGGCTGAAGGTGGGGAGGGAAAAGAGAAAGAAAAAAAGATAAAAATGGCTGCTTAGACGAAATCCCCGTGAGGGCAGCTGCTCCCTGAGATGCAGGAAGGTTAAAGCAAACAAACCTTCAATTGTACAAATGAACTTTGGGAACCGGCCCTCGGGCAGCAGCACGTAGCTCTCACGGAACAACTGTTCATTCTAAACAGTGGGCTGGGGAATACGCCACTGTTTCCAAAGACGATACACAATTTGACTTCACAATACTAGATTTCTTTTCCGATACTCCCATCCTCCTTCCCATGCAATTACACTGATTGCTCACACACAGCCAATCATCTGCCTGGAACTCCAAGCAAGATGCCCGGCATGTGCCATGGGGCGGGGGACGGGGGACCACAATTATCAAAAGACTCAAGATTGTCAGAAGAGAGAATCCAATCTGTCTATTACATCAAAGGAAACTCTTAGGTCAAGACATAGAAACTGGTGCTCGAAATAGATGCTGATGTGGCTGACTGGAATAGGAGCCAACTGTCTCCTAAGAATGTTTTGTGTGTTTTTAATAAATCCTCATAGATCTTTATGATGTATGCACTAATTTCCTCATCATAAAAATGAGGACATTGGAGCTCAAAGAGCCAAATATCTTACCCAATATAATAAAGAGCACCTAAGCGGTTTGGAGATCCAAACCTAGAAAATCAAACTGTCGAGCTCCCACACTCAGGCCCACAGCTACAGACAGTGTTTCAGAGGCAATGGTGATCACCTGGGAAACCCAGAAGACATTTGGCCAGACTAAGATATGCAAAGGAGAACTATAGATGTAAGATGTCAGTTACATTCAGAAGACACATACCAAGCCTATTCTAGAAAAGGAGGGCTCCAACCTAACAGGGCAGGGCCGGACTGACCAGGAGTCTGCCCTCCGCCACACCTGAGACCAGTACTTAATACCTGCAATGTGCAGCAAGAACTCCAAAGCCACACAGACGGCTGGCAGAAACCAGCCTCTGGGCTGCTGGCAGTCAGTGGACTAGCACACCTCAAAAGCAGTCCGGGCCACGCTCGAACTGAGGGCAGTCCAAACAGTCCAGACACCTAGAAGTTCCCGCGTGCTCTTTAGCTATGTCCTTAAAGTTGTTCAAATACAAACACACAGTAGGACCTCCCTGGAGGAAGACTGTTAGCTTGGCACCATGTATTTGAAAACCGAGCTCAGTTAACTGCATCCACTCAACGAGTATTTACCAAGTACCAATGAATACAAAGTCCAATTATAGGCCCCGAGTCACCTGAGTCCAGGTTCTGAGGAGTTAAGGAGCTAATATGTAGTGAACACCAGCTATCTGGCCAAAGGCAGGAAACATGAGTCTTTATGTCCTGTTTTTACATCTCCAGAGCCCCCTGGGCATGCAGCCTGGTATTCTACAGGACCCCTCTAATGTGCACATCCAACATCTGGCAAACACATGCACATTAAAGAAGGGTTAGGTGCACTGTGCAAGGGCCACACAAAAAGCAGATGCTCCTTTTCACGCCACTCCACCCTAACCCAACATCCTGCCACTTCCTGCATATCCTCTGGCCACCCAACCCGCCATTCCCAGCGGGACTATGTACAGGACCTGTCTACACCAACACCTGCTTGGAACACCGGGCACAGGTGGCACTTCTTCCTTATTGACCTTCTTCTGGTCCCCAGAACCCCCCAAACTCCAGTCTGCACCTCTCATAAGACCTTACGCACCCACCCATCTCTATGCCCCACGGGCTGAATCCCTTTAGAGCGAAGACCTGTGACTGCTGCCCTGCTCTATCCCACACTGTATCCTGCACCCAATCAATGCTCCTGATTGGCGAAATGGAGACTTGTCTAGACATCTCATCATCCATAGAGAATTACAATGGAATCTGGTGCTCCACAGCCATACCCTATAACCAGTAATACAAAAACAGATGGTAGAGCAGGCACTCTAAACCGACCAGGTTATCACTTAGCTGTCGCTGTTGATAAAGGTCTTTCAGCACCTGAAGCGTCTGTGTTCCTGGTCATAACCCAGTGAAATTGGCACAGTGGTTTGCGAGCAGTGGATCCGGAGCTGAGCCGGCTCAGTTACCTTGCCCCCCACAGAGAGGCAGGACACAATCTCTCTGCAGCTCTGAACCTAGGCTCTCACTCTTAGCCACTCACTTCACTTTTCTCCAGCAATAGCCTTGAACACACAGTCGTCACGCAGGGCTGCTGGGAGCTAGGCTGATCCCAGCTTTCTCTGAGGCCCTGGTGTATGGAGAAGCAGCATGGCTCCTCTTGTCTAAAACCAGGAATATGCTTGGCAGAGGCAGCCAAGGCCTGGGGGCAGGGCCCTGGGGGGAGCCTCAACTTCATGCTGAGAACCCAACGCTTGCCAGCCTAAGGAGCTGTGGTTAGCAGTCCCCTGGCCGCTGTGGGCCCAGCTGTGGCGCACTGGAGTTTCCCTTGTGCAACACCCTTGACTGGCTTCCCGCTGACTGCACCCCGTCGTATGATCGCTTTCCACCGACTGTATCCCATTTTCCACACGACAGCTGCAGATAAGACGCTGCGCTTCTTAACAGACTTGCTTGGCACAAGCCATAGGCTTACACAAGAGCTCCTGGTCCCAGCTTTGTCTTCTTTATCTTCTAATCCCCAGCTCTCGCCCTCCACACCCAGTGGTTCTGGACCCTATTCCTAGAGTGCCAATCGCTGGGTGATGGTCTCCCAGGGAATACTGGCAGTGTGTGGAGACATTTTAGGTCTTCGCACTCTGAAGGCGGGGTAGCGCTCTGTCACCCAATGAGGAGAGATGAAGGACTCTGTTTAACAGTCCTCCTCGTACCAGCCATTGCTCTCAGCAAAGACTTGCCTGACTTCACACGTCACAGTAGCCAAGGCTAGAGGCAAGCTCCAGCTGAGCAGAATACCAATGGCATCCAGCTGAACAAATGAAAACTGTCTCCATCCATAGGGGAGAGACACTCACCTTTCAACATCGGCCACGCTGTTGTCAGCTACCATGGCTTTCAAAATATCTGCATTCGCTGAAGAGAAAAAGAAAAAGAACTAAATGAGGTGAGTGAGTAATCCCTGCCACCACGTTAGGAAAGCTGTCACGGAAACACCTCAGGCCTCCCTTCAGTTCACAGAGGAGTTCCCGGAAGAAGGCTGAGGAGATTCCGGGGTCCCGGGTGAAGAAAGGGGTAGGTTTCCTCTGCAGGCGGCCGAATGCCTTTGCTCTCCACTTGGACTAACAAGAGCCCCTAAGTCAGGACAAATCATTCACATTTATGTGACACAGGAGGTCTTAATTTAGACTTACAATGTTCAGACTTTAACATCCCAAGTATGTGAGTTGTCAACAAAAGCACACCCAGCCTAAGCTTTCAGGCCTGACCCACACCCACGCCCTCCGTTCCTGCTTCTTACAGAGTGGCCGGTCAGTCAAAGCTGCTCTGAATGCCAAGTGTCTTCCGGCTACTTAATTGCCAGGGCCGAAAGCTATTACCAACTCCTAACCTTTTCCATTGGTTCTTAAAGCACTGTTCTCATGACTGTTCTCACAATAAACTCTCCAGAGAGGAAAGAATAAAAGAATTACTATTTACCCTGTGAGCAGATGGTGGCATGTAACATTTTACATTCAAATGACATCCCCAGAGGACAATTACCTCTAGCTCCATCTCTGATGCTGGACGTGTTGAGAGCTAAGGATTCGCGTGTGATGTGTGCCTCACAGCCTAACTTCCTTTTAGCCCCACCCAGTTTGGTTCTCTATCCATCCCCTCATAAAAATACAATAACAAAGATCCAAATCTACTTATGACCTGTGGCACATCTGTTGCCTTATGTATAAGAGAGAATAAAGTTCTTGTTGTTTTCATTTGGGGCTGCTCCATGGTCTCCAACACCTCACTGCAACTTTTAGAAATCCATGAGGATGAGGGTTATTTTTAAGAAATACTTACACATGTCACCCCTTTCTTTCAGCACTCGGGAGGCAGAGGCAGGCGGATCTCTGTGAGTTCGAGGCCAGCCTGGTCTCCAAAGCGAGTTCCAGGAAAGGCGCAAAGCTATACAGAGAAA